TATTAAAAATCAGAACAGAAGACACACAAACGTCTAATAAAGACTTAGAAAAAAAAACACTTACTCAAAAAGGACTGAACAGAAAAAAGAAAAGGTTTAATTAAGACAGAAAAAAGATAGATACGAGGGCTATTCATTAAATAATGAGACTAGATGTATTTCTTTTAAATTTTACACTTAACTGAATTGGAACATCACTTAAAATAGTCGTTGTCTTTCATACTATTGATTTGTCACTTAATAATAGTCTATTTCAAAGAGAGCATCTTGTTCGGGCCCACCCTTTGGACACTATTAACATGAAGACAGAAGGAAAGTCCTGAAAGGAGATTTTGAGTATCAGGTAATATATCAAATATCCATGATAGATGAACTCTGCTGCATCTATCAAAGTCGTTTATCGATGAATAAAACATTTAAAAAACTTGGTAAGGATTCAGTTAAAAATAAAGAAGGCCTAGATCACTTGTCAATGAGAGTGATTTTTAAGTGATGTAAATAAAATTTAAAAAAAAAGAATGTTATGTTATTTCTTTCTGTATTAACAAAGTCTCACTATTTAATGAATAGCCCTCGTAAAGATCAAACAGAGGACAAACGTCTGTCTCAAGAAATACTGAAAAGAGAATAGACATATGTCTTTCAAAAACAAAACAGAGGCAAATAGCTGCCTTATATGAACAGATCAGAAGGTAGAGAAATTTCTGATAAAAACTAACTATAGGGCAGACAAATAGGCAAATATAAAATAAATCAAAGAAGAGACAAATGTCTGATAAAGAAAACAAAAGTCAGACGTTTGTCTGATAAAGACTTAACAGGTAATGTAGCTGACATATGCCCAATAAAAATAGACCGATGGACAGACATTTGGCTGGTTAAGAAGAAAATAGGGCAAATGTATACCTTAAAATTGAATAGCGTGAAACAGTTAGCCTTGTAAAGAGAGGATCTATAGGGTACAAAGGAAATGATAAAGACTGAGCAGAGGATAGACAAATGTTAGGTGTGGAAGGCAGGCATAGTAAAGACAAATGGAAGGCAGTCTGATGTAGACCGAACAGAGAGAACAAATGTGATATAAACAGAATCTCTAGCAAAGAAAGATTGATTGATTGATTGATTGATTGTATGTTGTTAAACGTCCCTCTCGAGAATTTTTTCACTCATATTTCACGCCACCACTTGCCGATGGAGAGTTGAAATGTCCTACATTCGGAACTCAGGGCATTGAGCAGCGAAGGGTCTTTTTCGTGCCAGCATCTACTACGACACGTGACCTCAGTTTATACGGTCTCATCAGAAGGAACGGTCTCCAGGTTCAACGGTGGGATCGAACCCATGACGTAAGGATCAACTCCTTACTTGGCGACTCTAGAGCAGACGCTCTAACCACTGCGCCCAGAGGTCGACTGTACCTCAGAGTGCGTTCACCTCAAATGGAGTTCCAGGAGGTTTATTCGGGTTTTCCTTCTTAACCAACCATAGATTTGCGTAAAGGTTTTTAAACCAATCAAACTGTGTGTTTCAAAGCCTGTGTCGTTGTGAATGTAAACATAACAGACGCCACTGCCCAGTACAAAGGAAAATTAAAATTCTTATAAAGTAAATGGTTGAGCAGTTATTTTTCTTTTTTTAAATAAAATTGTTTTCCATTTTTAAGTAGTTATAATAAACTTTTGAAATATCATGATAGTAACTAATGCTGTCTCATGACTCTCTTTGCATGCTCATGTTTGATGGAGACAAGAACAAAGCTTAAGGTGACAAAAGAGTTTTAAAATTCCTCATCATTTACGGTAATTGACTTTTAAATTCGGTCTACTAGCTTACCAAGATTAGATTATCAAACCACCAATTAAAAAATGAAACTGGTAGATATAATAATACACTTAGATCTCAAAGAATTTGCACACTATGCTCCTCTAATGATATTGAAGATGAATTTCATTTTATATCAAAATGTCCATATTATGAAAATCTCAGAAGTAGGTACATTAAGAAGTATTATTATGTCAAACCAAGTGTATTTAAAATTGTAAGTTTAATGAATAGTCAAAATGTAAAAGAGTTGTCTAATTTGGGAATTTTTTTTATATAAAGCTACAGCTCTACGAAAGTCTAATTTGTAACTCCTGTTGATATTGATATCCTTTGTGTACTTTTGTATATAATATTTATTCTGTACTCTTTATCACGTTTGTAAGTTGTATAAAATCTGATGAGCCTTTTGCTTAAAGAATGAAGAAAGAAAGAACTAGTGACTACATGGACCTGGTCAGGTATTGGTTAATCTCGGCCTTCCACCTCGATCAACCAATATCTGACCAGGTCCGTATAGTCACTGGTAGACCTCATCGAAGCCAATAATTGTATATTACAATATCTCTTTACTGAATCTGATCTATATTGTATAAATATTGCATGTGAAACATTGAAATAAAACACCCAGAGAAAACCGGCGCATCCGAGGCTGACATTGGTTTTCATAGGGTGAAATTCTATTTTTTAAAATTTAATTTGAAATTCGTCCCATCAAAATGTTTTACCAGCGGAATCAACTTACTGTTGCACCCCTAAAAATATCTTCTATTTCGTTTCCCTTCATTAATTCATTTGATTATTTTTAATATATAGTTTTGTTACTCTTACTCGTTAAATATATGTAGATTAATTTTCCCGACATTGCTTCCTCTGGGGCGAATGAATGGTTTCATTGGATATCAAAAATATAAATATAATTTGATTATTCTGAGCATAGAATGTTCATGCAATTAATTTTTTGATCTGATATAGCATAATATTTAATTATTCAATCTGGAAAAATATAATTACCATTGCTAAAATAAAACACGAATTATTCCATTGTGGCTTGATGATTTTACAAACTATTTAACATTTGTGTTTTTGAGATCAGTATTTCTGTGCTATCTGAAATAACAAAATAAATGTCTCTTTTCTTCATTTTCCAAGATGAAAGCCAAGTGTGGTCTCGTTTCTTTTGTAAACCTGAAAAACAATTCTAATCAGGTAGCCAAATAGATAAACATCTAACAAAGCTCTGATAACATCAAGATATCGCCCAGTCTTCACAGAAACTCTAATGAAATACACATGTGTCGATGAAATTCACTCGCACCATGTATTTGCAATATTAGTTGCGGACCTGGTTTTTGCTCCTGTCGAAAGCTTGTATTGTTTCCTAGTTATCGGAACAAGATCCGGTGTGGGACGTGACTAGTCATTTTGCACATTTTGTATAAGCGTCCCAGATTTACTGACGAGCTTTTTTGTCGTTGGTCTGATTACAGATCTTGCGAGGAAAATAATTCCGTTTTCTGTCATTTTGTTGGCTCATAATATTTCATCCATTCTACTGCTTTAAGTTCTAGTTTCATCAATTTACTGAAATATATTTTATTTCTTAAAATATTTTCACTCGAAATAAAATACCCGAATGCAGCGAATATAATTGTTTCAATTGATAAATTACAAAAATTCCTATGATTTCAGCTCTTCAAATCGAAGACGCTGTGGGTTTCCTATGTCTCATAGTGTGATAAAACGTTGTTTTACTTTCTATATTAAAACATTGAAAGAATACTTGAAAGGAATCGGGTTGGGGCTTTAATTCCGTGAAAAATCAAGTTAGTTCTCCGTGATAACTAATATTATATACATTTTATGATATACACAATTACAGATGTGTAAATAAATAGACCTAAACAAAAACATTTTCTGATGGAATAAAATATATTTCCCTTAATTCCTTATTTTCAATAATTTATAATAAAAAACAATAATATTTTGATTTCAGGAATTTTTGTCTTCTGAAAAGTCAGTCAGATAGCTTAGACGTAAACAGGAAATTTATATCCAATTACTAAGTATCCTTGACAGATTTTACGTAAATACATGTGCATATTAGTGTATTATAGTATTAATAAATATAGTGATCATACAAATTACATAGACTGTGCTTCCATAGTTGAGATAGTTACCAACTGATGGTAAAAAAAGGTTTCTTATACGGTACCCTTGCAAGCAAAAATATTCAATCATTTTTTTAAAATAAGTTGTATGCATTTGGATCCTATTATTTCGATGAAGCCATCGCGCATTATGTTACATATATATCTTGGATAATATGTTCTTTCTGATAACTATTTAACAAGTCAAACAAACTTAATGTAACTATATATATTTCATTTTTTTCTGCTCATTTTTCAGAAGACCTGCCCTCGTACATATATTTAGAAAATATTCCCTCATATTTACGGCTGTTGGCAGTAGCAATAATATTTTCCCCATGCTTTAGATACAAGTATTTCTTTTCAAACACTATAAGACTCGTAACTTTCTGAGGTAACAAACTTCCAGCGAAAGTCATCGATTTCATTAATTGGTAATTTATCAAGACAAGACCAGATAATGAAGTTGAAGTGTTAATTTGGTATGTTAATTAAGGGTCAGTTATGGCACGAGGAGAATTATCGGCGAGATCCCGTGGGGCGAGATGTCTATCGCTCACACCGTGCTTTATGCCTCACTGCATCTGACGCAGGAAGGCCCTGTTGGGAATATAATGCGCCTTACAAGAAGAAAACTTAAGTAAGATATTAATTATATTTATTAATTTGCTAGAAATATATAAAACTGGTTTGCACAATTATTTACTTTCAAAGAAATATGTATTTCTTTGTGTCTTTAATATACAATTGACCGAGCATTTAACATTTAATTCTGTATTTATTCATACTCGAGTATTGTATAAAGTGGCTAGAATTATTTCTTTACATAATGCTTTTTCTTTAAGGTCTTATCTGCTAACAATGAGGTATAGAAAGTTGATTCTCAGCGCATTCTCTCAGCGAGTAAAAGTAAATGAGCGCAAGTGATTGGTGGAAGAAGAATTCAACTCTTCCCTCATAGCCCTGAAGGGGCGTGACCAGGGCGCGTGGTTGTGACGTAGGCCTATCAGCTCGTGTTTCAGCAACCACGAAAGATAGCAAAACCATTCTAATACCGCCAAATACTCCAGAGAAAAACACAAGGAATGTCAAAAAGATGGTAAAAATCGCCTGAGAATGCCATCTCGCACGATCTACCTTTGAGCATTGCATTATGACATCCTGCGATATGATGTATCAATTCTATAATCCGTATTTCTCTCATAAAACACCGTCAACCGACTTTGCGGTGAGTATGAATTTAAGAAAAAAGTTAAATTCTTTTTTCAAAAACAATAATAATATAATAGATCTCGTTTAAATAACATCGGACATGTGTTTATCTTGTATCCAACAAACACTTAGGAATTTCCGGTATACATACCAAAGCGAGGAAAGCAAACATACCGAAAGATTCTTACGGTGCTTTGGTATACAGTGGATATATCTTTGGACTTCACGGAATTATGTGGCTTGTGCTAGTTGGATATTTATATTCAAGAGAAAAAAATTAACGTATTTCTGATACAAGTCACTTCTTGGTGACAGATATTACGGAAAATTACTACGTGAATTGCAACTGCGGTCGAAAAGCTAAACAATCAGGAAATGTTCAGATGTTTATGATTGCTAAGAACGCAGTTCCTGTGCTTCTCTTACTTCAGATTTTAGAATTCAGAGTTAATTTCTGTGAATTGAAAAAATATGAATAAATTAAATAGGCGTGATTATTTTTCAGAAGTTTGGAACACCCGGCTTATCGACAGACCCCCATCACCTACAGACTAGCGGGCCTTACCCCCACAGCTCCCTCCCCCCGTGTACAGGAAATGATAGACACGGGGACATAGAGGGGGAGATAGACCCGGAATCTCAACCCAAGTCATCTCAGTACCTGAACCCTAACTGTGTTCTTCTGAGTTACTTCTCTGGGGACACGTCTACCGTGGTGGACGAACACTTTAGTCGAGCTCTTAGTCAACCGAGCAGCTTTAACCTGGACCGAAATTACAGCACCTCCTCCTCATTTTCCGTCAAAACTAAAGCAGGCAAGTTCTTTTCATGACAATTAATATCAAAAAACATTTAATAACCCCAATTTTTGTGACAATGATATAAGATCACTCGATTTAGCAAAATTAAGACGAATTTATCCTACCTATTTTGACGTTTCGTTTCATTTTATGTTCCGAGGTCCTATGTAGTAAGATTACAATCTTTATTCTCAAATGTACCAAAAACGTTTTTACTGCTCCTTTCAGTCTTGCGGAAAATTGTAAAAGATAAAAACCCCTTGGACAAAACTTAAATTTCATTTTAAAATGGAAAAAAAGTATTTTTTCCTGATTCTTGTGAAATGTAGAAGATCGAGCTTTCAGCGAGCTTTTAACAACATGCGATTATTTTTCCGACATGTATAATAAGAATCATTTGGAGAGTCGTTTTGCTTACAGTGTTTTTTATTTTAATAAATGCATATAAATTCTGATTTTTTTTCCCCTGAAAGATTTCGAGTTTTGTTAATTTTTTAGAGAGATCGCCTCTCTAATAAACAAATAATTACAGGAGACAGCCCACGGTTTTCTTAAGTTGTCCTGTCCTGTTTTAGATCGCTGAAACAATTCCGATTTTTGAAATAATGTATACACTTTTAAATTTCTTAATTTCCGATAATATATTTCTTCTTCTTGTTGTGCAACAAGTTCGCACGCTTTAGGTCAGTGAATTCTACGGACGCAGAGACATAAACTGTGGTCGGCTTACAGCTGGGTCTACTTATTTTCTACGATTTCAAAATTAAGGAGGTCTGCACTTAATAGTGATTCTTTGATTATCAGCATGATCAATCGAATGCTTTTGCGATCTGTCTTAGTGAGAGACATTAATACACAATTGATTTAAGAAATTGATTGGATTTTGCAGAGTCGATGTGTATACAAACTGACATTTTCAACATGGAAAGAACATAATATTTTGTATTATTATTAAAAACAAAATCGCTCTATAAGCCATGACTGGTTTGCAATGTAAGATTTTTGCAATTACAGTATGTATACAGTATATAAGAAATGAAAAAAGGGCCCAAAAAGCATCTGAAGGAAACGCAACACAATTTGGTATATTCGCAGCACATATAGCACAAAAACTTGTTTAATTTTTCGACCAGACCATATAAACTTAAAAAGATTCAGGTAAATGTAATCCCCTTTTTAAATTATTTTTCTTTTTTCTCAGAAAAACCCCTGATGTGTCATCGGAGGCTTCCGCCATCATTCTGGAACAGTGCTTACAAGCCGCCGTCAGCGCAGCTCGGGACAGGAAGTAACTTTGACTACTCCCGTGATCCCTACTTCCCGTCCTCCTGGTACTCACTTCAGAATAACTGGCCCTACAGGCTCCCCTCCCACACCCACACGGACCTTGGCGGATCCCTCCCGTATTCTTCGTTTGACGCCACGGGAAAGTTTGGATCCACCTACCAGTCGTTGATGTTTCCTGGAAGTTATGACACAAGACAATCTAAATATGACTTTGCTAAAAATATGGAGTCTTTAGCGGGAACAAGTAGTTATTATGGATTATCCAGATTAGGAATGGATTTTACATCCAAAGGGGACCCACCAGTCAACGGTAAATATATTTTTTAACAACATTCGAACTGAAGTTAATGGCAACTTCGAATTTCGAGTATTTTTGCTGGCTTTATGGACTAGCAATGACGCTAGGGTTTAGCTAGAAGTGCGCCAACGTAGGACAGATTCAAAGTCAATGATTCGTTATCAATATCTCTTGTTATTTTTCGAGCTTCTTGGTCAGGATTGACTAACCATTCACCTTTCAAAGCGACGGAAAATATATATGTATAGAAAGCCTTCGCATAACAAGACTTTTCCGGAATGTTCACTCTTCCTCGGAATAATTACTATTCAGCAAGCCTCCCTCCCGGAATCCTTACGATATAGTTTATCGGAGAGGAGGAATTTATGTCCTAGAATATTTTGCAATAAAATGAATGTCCCTTTTAATTCGAGTATTAATTATTCATAATTCTTTATTAAGTATATTCATAATATATATTGTATAAATTGATTGTTGAATTATACATATGAACGACTCCAGACAACAAATATATATATGACATCTTCTTTTCTGGGGTTTTATAAGTTTTAAAATTTTTAAAAATTTTCCAAGGGGATACACTGTTATGAGGGGAGACTAAGCCATTTATTAAGGACATTCATAAGTACATGTACTTCGTGTTCCGCTAAAAGTCCCTTGTGTTCGTTTCTAGATATCTTCTATTTTATATCTTTTCTTTATATATCTTCTATACCGAGTATTTATTTTAAATTAAAGGTATTTCATTTTAAGAATATGAGCGTGTGTTACCCAAACTAAAAAAAATTGTATATCAATAGCGCTTCAGAAATTTATTTTTAAAAAAGTTCTGGAAGTCAAAAACTTGCTAAGAAAATAATTTTCCAAAGTAAGGTACAATTTATTATATAAAAAAATTCGAATTTGTTTATCATCTAAGAGTTCCAAACCTAGTTTTCATCAGGGGTATTTTAAAAATTTTCCATACACATCTGATTTTTTCCTCATAGATTTTCAAAAATTTCTAAATTTTTCCCATAAGCAATCAAAGATTCTTTAAGATTGATTATTCAAATAGATATATTTCAATTATAATTTTTATTTGTTATATATTGAGTTGTTCAATAAATATTTTTGTATAATCAAAGATTTATTTTATTTGAAAAATCAAATCAAATGCTTAAAAGATTTTCCTTTAAAATTCCCTTGCAAGTTCGATTCAATACAAAAAACAAGAAATCTATGAGATCTTGTTTATATCATTTAGTGATTGAAATTTTAAGTATAATTTCTGATAATATTGAATTTATTTCATGACTTTTCTTAAAATAGTCTTCTTGCACATTATATATACATGTACATTGTATATTGTAGAAGAACAAATTCTTTTTAAATCCTTTTATTATTTTCCTAATTGTTTTACTAATTATTTAAGGTTATCTCGAGAAAATGTGTGAATGTAGAATTTACTTCTTTGGTGTTTTAATTAACAATAAATCATTTGTTTTAAATCATATGTAATCTTAATATTCTAATATCAAACATCCAACAATGTAAATATAGGGGTTAGTAGTTTACTTACATGTATATTGGTAGTTGTTTTTGGTTGATTTTTTTTTAATCAATATTAATTTTGTAGACATTTTGGAAACTGGACAGAAATTGAAAAAGAAATTTCCTGAAGTTTATGTATTTTATGCAAATGTGCAAGTATTCATTTTTTAACTTCACAATTTATGTTTAAATATCCGGCATACTATACATGTACATAGGGTTCTGAAAGAAAATCCTCAATAATAATGACAGGCTTAATTCTAGAAATCTATGGGTGAGCACAGTTTGAAAGAATAGAAAAAAAAACACAATGTTTAATGGTTGAACATTGTATAATAAATCATCAGTCATTTTCTTTTTGCATTGTATTGATAAATCTTTAGATTAAAGTGTTTATTGGTGCTAAATCTTAAATTATCTTAATTCATCTCGAGTTTCTAACCTTTGAATCTCTGTTTCATAGATCTATTCAACTGAATGACCCTGAAGATTATTCAAAAATAAATAATTAAATATCCACCGTGTTACACACATTTTTATGATAAAAAATTCACCTCTTTGCCAAAAATACTAAGTCCTTTTAATAAAGGGTCATATCACATGATTTAATGTCACCCTTCCACAAGTGATGCGTTTACAGGTTAACGTGTGGTTAGCGTGTTAGTCTCAAACTAAAATGATACTGCGGATTTTCATTAATATAGAGTTCGGGATGTTTAATTTTGTTAATAAAATAATATAAATTTAAGCCGCGAAATTTTTTCTCCGAAAAGTTTTATTCATAATTTCATAAATTTCAATGAATAAAACTTTACTTTGATACTTAATTAATTGATTTTTATATGTATGAAGCTATAGGCATTCTGCATGCCTTAATTGCTTTCATTCATCTTCTTTCAATCGTTTCTTGGATATATACCGTACATGTATACAAGTAGATTTTTTTCCGAGGAATTTTTAATAATGCCAACGTAAATTATCTCTAAAAATTCTGTTTATTATACGGTAGTTATCCAAAAGAACAAGGAAAGATTGTAAATTATAGTACATGTATGTAACCTGAAGGAAAATGAAGACTTGTGTGTTTTACAGGGTTGGAATACCAGCTACAGACCGCTCGGCGGGAGTTGTGTTGGTGACACCTCACACGGAAGTTCCTGCTAATGAGAGAGCACGTCCACTGTGGTTATAAATGACAACAAATCAACGTGCACATTCACACGTCCAAAATTTATACCATTATTAATGAGCACGATAAATTTGTTCAAGTTTTTCAGCTTGATTAATGGAGGCAAATGTTGAAAAACTGACAGTCAAAACCGGTGTCGGCATGCCTCCACTATCATCTGATCATAAAAACGATTCGTAGATTTCGCATTCATATCATAATTGTCATTATCTCATTTACTTACAAAGATTATATGATCTGCTATAAGTGGCTTCAATGTACAATAAATTGTTATATATAACATAGACTAACTTTTTCTCAACTTTGATTGGACATTATCATTGTTTTTTAAATTTGGAAAATACTTCGAAACTACTAAATTGCAAACTTATTTTTTAACATTCTGACAAAAGGAATATGCATTTGGCTACAATGCGGTGTATAAAATGATCAGCAAGTGATGTAAAATTGGAGAAGCTAAGCGTCGGGATGCAGTCAACACGTGATAAAACAAGCATTCGATCTAACACAAACCAAAACAAAACTTGGTGGCTGGATTATCCGCCGTTTTCTCTCTATTTCTGCAGCTGTCATTGCTCTAACTCCATCGTTCATCTCGGAGAGAGGTAGCTTGACTTGTCTCTAATTATCTATAACGTTTACGGTTACCAATAGTGTGGGCAAAGATAATTACAACGCGATCCTTATCAAGCTTGTTTGGGTTTTCTTCGTATAATTTGTCAAAACCATCAGTTTTGCCAGCAGAATTTTCGACAAGAAATTGTTATTAATTAAACTGTAGTCAACGTGTGTAATCCCATAGATTATACTGTGATTATATGACACGGTCTTTGTTGTTTCAGATGAAAATTTAGAATGCCCTATTTCTTAAGTTTTAAAAAGATTATCATGGCATTCAAATAATAATAAGGCGAACACTGGAGAGAAGCATCCAAAGAAAAATGGGCGCTCTGTTGGATCATGTTTAAAGTATTGATCATTGCAGGATTAATCCCTCTAAAAGAATTAACAAGTTCCTGGTATTTTCTCTATACCATAAAGACACTTTTACTTCATTTCATCGTTTTTTTTTTAGATCAGCTAATCACAATTCACAAAAATTGGGTTCCGATGCATCATTTTGATAGGCACTTTCTGTGTTTATTACACTATAATCTATACAATATCCGCTAGTTCTATAAACCTACGTTTTACAGGACACACACAATAACAAAGAAACGTTTGAATGAATTATAGAAGCAAGGTTTTGTTATAGACACATCATAATACAATCTGTCATAGAATGGACGTTGACACAACAATTTCGGTGGAATGTCAAGAGAAATAGAGATCAAGCGCTTCTCCCTGTATGACGCCTCCGTATCACGGTAATCATCTCCGATAAGTCCCGTTCTTCACACCAAGCCGAGGAGGTAAAAATAATACAGCTAGCTTTGTAACATGATGTATCTAATACACTACATATGTCATTGATAAATGCTAGATTGGATGCTGTGATTGACAGTCAGGATCTCCGCTATTTTCGTCTTCTTTTTTCGCGTTGTCCGAACTGATGAATGACATATGTGCACAAAAAGATAATACAATATCCTAGAAATGTCACTTGTAATAATCGGCGTTTTTTTAGCTGTGAATTTACTTTGACAATTAATATTCACCAAGCACAGCTTTCCAAATTTTAGTCTACTTTTCCCGTAAATAAAAACGCCTAGTAGATTTGCAAAACTGTTACTGCTTGACAAAGATAATTAAGATTTCTTGAGTTTCTTGCTTTATTTATTCTGGGTGCACCTTAGTAAAACGTATCAGTACTTCAAATGATGCAATAGTTCTGACTGAATCTCATAAAATGAGATACATTTCCTAACAATATACATGTAATCTGAGAATATGGTTTCTAATCAAAAAAAAAAAAAAAGATGATAATCAAAAAGATCGGATCTTGAATTGATAAACATTTAAGTCTGTATGATTTTAATGCCCCTTTCATAAAGAGAGCTTACCTTGACTAAAAAGTAAGTAATTGCGAATTAAGCTGTCTATAATAGCCTTAGATTCAATGAATCTGAATGCATTACAGATATATATATTGGCATAATACTCAGTATATGTAAGAATTTTCATGTTTTGGTATCAATATGTAAGAGTGGAAAGTGTCATTATACTTGACCTGTCCTTGAAAAGTTATACCCCTTTGCTTTTTATAAATAAAAATAAATTCTATGAAAAATTCTATCTGGTAAAAAAATAGGTTTTCAATAATTATTATTACCATGGGATTTTTTTTTATATTCCTAGTATTTAATTCTTTTTATTATCAAAATGTTGCTTGTCCCCATGGACCTCAATGCATTCTTCATTAATTAATTTCTGCTGAGGTATTTATATTCTTAAAAAATTCAATAACTGTTCATAAAATCGTGAGGAACAAGATTTTAAAATGTGAAAGGAATTCTTGTGGTAGAAGATTATTTACAAGAAAATTCTAGAACCCTACATTTTTTTCGTTATTATATGCAAGGATTGATTTATTGATTTTGTTGTTATATGCAAGGAATATTCATAATTTTTAGATCGAATTTCAAGTTTCTCTAGCTCTGCCAATAAATTAACAAGAGGCCCAGGGGCCACAGCGCTCACCTGAGCACATCGGGCTTGAATTTAACACCCCCCCCCAGGCGTTCATCATTTGAACAAACTAGAATCTACACTATCTGAGGATGATTCCATATAAATAACACTAATCATAGCTTTGAAGTGCTTGAAAAGAAGATTTTAAAAGGTTTCCCGATATATTCCTATGTAAAACTTGGGTGGGCCATTTTGGCCCCACCCTAGCCCAGGGGTCATGATTTGAACAAACTTGAATCTACACTACCTGAGGATGATTCCACATGAGTTTCACCTTTCCTGGCCTAGCGGTTCTGGAGAAGAAGATTTTTAAAGATTTTTCCTATATATATTCCTATGTGAAACTTGGGTTCGGCCATTTTGGCCCCACCCTAGCCCAGGGGGTCATCATTAGAACAAATTTGAATCTACACTACCTGAGGATGATTCCACACGAGTTTCATCTTTCCTGGCCCAGTGGTTCTTGAGGAGAGGATTTTTAAAGATTTTTCCTATATATTCCTATGTAAAACTTGGGTCGGCCATTTTGGCCCCATCCTAGCCCCAGGGGTCATCATTTGAACAAACTTGAATATACACTACCTGAGGATGATTCCACATGAGTTTCATCTTTCCTGGCCCAGTGGTTCTTGAGAAGAAGATTTTTAAAGATTTTTCCTATATATTCCTATGTAAAACTTGGGTCGGCCATTTTGGCCCCACCCTTGCCCCGGGGGTCATCATTTGAACAAACTTGAATCTACACTACCTGAGGATGATTCCACATGAGTTTCATCTTTCCTGGCCCAGTGGTTCTGGAGAAGAAGATTTTTAAAGATTTTTCCTATATATTCCTATGTAAAACTTGGGTCAGCCATTTTAGCCCCACCCTTGCCCCGGGGGTCATGATTTGAACAAACTTGAATCTACACTACCCAAGGATGATTCCACATAAGTTTCACCTTTCCTGGCCTAGTGGTTCTTGAGAAGAAGATTTTTTAAAAATGCCATTAATTTTTCTCTAATTCATAATTATCTCCCCTTGGAAAAGGGCGTGGCCCTTCATTTGAACAAACTTGATTCCCCTTTACCCAAGGATACTTTGTGCCAAGTTTGGTTGAAATTGGCCCAGTGGTTCTTGAGAAGAAGATGAAAATGTGAAAAGTTTACGACAACGACGACAACGACGACAACAACGACAACGACGACAACGGACAAATTTTGATCAGAAAAGCTCACTTGAGCCTTCGGCTCAGGTGAGCTAAAAAGTATTGAAGAATTCAAGATAAAAAATATACGAGTTATTTGTATGAATATTGCATAATTGACCCATAAAATATTTTTGCTTTTAACATTTTAGATTAATCTAAACTTCACAACGCTTGCAACCGAATTCGTTAAAAGAAGGCTTGATACAAATTCGAATTCGAATTCGTTAAAAGAAGGCTTGATACAAAGAAATTTTTATTTTGTCTATTTAAGTAGGCTTTTAAAACTTTGAATCAATATTTTCAGCACAAAAAAGTCATCAATTAGAATACTAGTATCTTTACTCCGCATTTTTTTCATAATAAATGTTATTTAAAATATTTTACATAAAAGATACTAAGCCCCCTTCCACCCCTTTTTTAACAACACTGTTCATGTTATCATGCCCTGGATAGTTAAACAACTGTCCAGAGACAGAAACTATTTTTAGAGAAGGCCTGGTTGTCTTGAGGGGCATCTGGACGAAATTAAGCTTAATGTTAGCTATAGTATGACAAAGACATCTGTCCTGTTACATTACTTGTATTTTTCATTTATTCATTGATTAAACCTTCCATATTCTGAAAGATTTAACATATAAATGGTCAGACAAAAAAGTGTGCTTCAAATATATTTTTAAGACATTGTAGTATGATGCTGTTTTTGTTATCATATTCTAAGACATTGTAGTTTGATGTAGATTTCTTGGCCTCCTTTAAGCCTGTTAAGGTTGATTGGTAGAGTATATTTCCTACTGACAGCCTTGAGCACCTGATGTGGTGTCGGGGGTCTGTGTCGTACAACCTTCAGTAGGACACACCTTCAGTAGCCGGACACACTCCCGTCACAGTCTCGGTATTACACAAACCTGAAGCTCCCGTGGCTTCTACACAAGAAGTATTTGTCAGTGACTGATCTGGAACATCGACTTGCTTTTCCTTGTCGGTCTCTAAGTATTGCTCCCATTTCTTCAATCGTTCGTCCCGCTCAGCTTCTGACTCCTGTATCTCGTATTTAGTCTTTCCATCCCAAGATTCGGCCGAGATTTGGCGCTTGGCGAACCATCGTCCGTTCATTGCTGCAATACAAGCGTCGGCCTGCTCCGCTTCTTTGAATGACACCGACATAACGCCTTCTGGGTGGTTCTAGCATAATAACAGAGAATGATGGATTAAAACAGGAAACAAGCTGGGAATTAATTGATGAAAAAAATATATAATGCATAAAAATACGTAAAATGCGAATGTATACCTGGATAAGAAGAGTCCAATACCTTAGGTTCTTGCTGGTTTATATATAGTATTAAGGACTTCCTATATGTTATTTTTAAAGTCCCTCATTATTGCAATCATTATACATGTAGCAATGTAATCTGTTGTTCAAATTTTGAAAGTATGTAACTAATGAAATCAGACAGAAGTAAATCGTTCATTGAGAAACATTCCAACCCCTGAAGAGCACAACTGCCATAAAGACATCGCAATTCTCATCAAAGACAGCGATAGTAACCCTCAAAATTTTTCTATCTTACAATCCCAATATGAAAAATATAAATAATACTGCTACTTACATCATAAATTTTGACATTTTTGACTTCTCCAAATTTTGAGCTTTCTTGTCGGACGTCGTCACGAAGTTCATTAATCAACACAGGGTCCACCTGGAAAAGCAGTCATATTATTAAACTTAATTACAATCAGAAAACCTAAATAGATCTTGTCTTTGTCTCGCCAATTTTTACTGACAATAGTCATTGTAACTTACAATCTATCTCGTCAATTTCTTATATACATGTATTAGTAATTGTAACTTTCAATCACTAATACCTAAATAGATCTAGGCTTTGTCTCGTGTATTTTAATGACGCTGTAAAACAACTTTTAATTATTCGCGTCATCGTCATAGACTAAGTTTGAAATCAATCCGCGACTGATGATAAATGGTTCGCGGCATTTCATATTCGCGAGTTAAAGTTGGATATTTCTCGCACGCGAATAAAAGTTGGTTTATACAATTGTTTTGTCCACGAACATTTTGGTTAGTTTTCGTATAAAAATTACAAAATAAAGGGTTAAACAGCTCTCTTAGCGTTATGACATTATAGCTTTGGCAACTCGGTAAAAGAATCGAAAACTTTCAAAAATTTCTCCATTGTACATTCAGAAGTGTAAAAAAAAATAGCACAGTTAAATTCTATATAATTTTCTTCCTTTCCCGATTTTTAAAGAGTTTATGAGTATATATATTAACCTTTTCAAAAAGAATTGGCATTTGTTATACATGTGTAGTATCCCAACGAAAAGAATTTATATAATAATCTTAATTGAAAAATTCTTAATTTTGTAGGAAAATGGGCTTTTACGAGAATTTAAGGACCGACTTTTTACAGTTGACTGTTACTTGGACTGTTACCTGTATCATATACGGAGGAACATGACTGATATTAGATAACAAAAACCTTTGACTAGGGTAACTAGGGTAACTAACAAGTGAAGGCCGGGAATTGAGGGTAGGGTGGTTTTCGTTTTTTCTTCAAGGGCAACTTTCAGGTATCTGTGCTTTGAAATATCATGTTATTTTGCGTTTATTTAAATGTTAAGTTAAATATTATATAAAAATTTAATTTCAAATGTTAAAGTATCAAGCAATTTAAAAGTTGGCTGAATCATTGCAAAACATATAACATTTTGTATATACATAACTACGTCACAATGAGTTACGTCAAAAACTTATAATATCCAATTCCATTGAATTTTAGCAGCTTTTAAATGCTTTTGTCAACAATCAACTTAAATTCTAAAAAAAATGTTTTCATTTGAAAAATAATATCATTATACATGTACAGTACTGGGAGGCAGCATTTCTGGTACACCGCTCAAAATAACACGCCTGAATAAAATCAAACCAATGCTTTAATCTTAGACAGGGGGAAATCATGACAAACATATACCACACGAAGCAGCCGAGTACTCTCACCCAAATCACGTGTCGTCTGTGTGCACATTAATAAAATAATTGAATTACATCTTTTGAGCATCGGCGTAATTTGTTCATAAGCAACTACGGTCGGACATACATTGAATATTGGGTAAAGACACATGTTTAAATAGCACGACATCATTCCTGGAATGCGCTTAGGACATAGCTGGGATGTCAAAGTCTAACGTTATACGGCTTGCAAGGGAGTTTAGAATTCCACAATGATGGTTTTATTACATTAATATACTTTGTGAAAGGCTGCAGTAACTTTAATACTAACAAAGAAAATGGAAAGTGACTGGTAGCGACATAACTGTAATATTTGTTACATATTTGTTGATGTTTTTGCTTTTCCGTTTCTCTGACATATTTTTAAAAAACATGATTTTTTAAACAGTTTATAAATCTTTAATTATCCAAGTAAAAAAGTATAAATTATTTTGTTTTCAGAAATGAAAAAAATAAAAATATGGGACACACAATAAGTTACTTTCAAATTGAAAATCTATTTATCAAAGCAAGTTTCCATTTAAATGACTGCCGTTTGATAGTTTATGAACAATAACCTGTACAACTCATCTTTGTAATATTATTATTATTAAGGTTTGCTTGTATCCATACAAAAATTATAAGTTGAAAACGCTATTGTTTCTTATTATTATTCTTTTTTTTTAACAAAATTTTGTGCAGGCATGAATTTTAAATTTTGATTTTATGAAAATTTCATGTAGAAATTATGGTGTTCATTATATGAATTTTATATAAAATTCCGTTTGTTGGAAAATTCGCTACCAGTGCCAAGATTGTGTTTATTGATATATCCTGATTTTAAAATGCAATCCCCCCCCCCCCTTCGAAAAAAAACACGAAAAACACACACACACATACAAACTGAAATAAGTTTTTTTTATAGCTTTGTTGCATTACTTTATTGCTTGTCAAAATAATTTTCAGAAAATTCTTTGGACTTTGTGTGGTACTTCCGGTCGCTACAGGAAGTGAATTCAAAAAGTGCCCTTTTGCAAATTTTTTTGTTTTTCACTATTTTTCTTTGATATAATTAATGGTAATTAAGATCCTACTGGAAAGGCCAAATATATAATGACCTTCCAGGTGATAATAAGAATTTATTTTCCACACACAGTGGTCTAAAAATTGAGCGGGAAATTCCAAATTGCGACAAATAGTTTTGGAAAACTATTTTATTTGCGCCATTGCACTCAGGTGAACATAATATTAGTAATCGAATGTATGAAAGTGGTTGACAGTGATGGGCAGGGCCAAAACAAAACTTGAAGTTAAAAATTGTCTTTTCGTGGGTGCCAATCAAAGGTTTTTAGCTGTCATTTTTTTAATATGAGGTTTTTCAAACCTTATCATATAAAAATTGACATTATTTCTTTTTTATGTATAGCTACGAAAGTACTTTTTACAACAAAAAAATCCCAATTTATACGGCTGGTAATGTTTATTTAAGCCGGCTCCTATCATTGCTTTTGGTTAATATTCCAGCGAATGTAAATAGATGACATGAACTGCTTTATGAGTACGTAATATTTAATCACTGATTCATACATGACTTGATATTACTATTTATCAAATAAAGTATACAACATGACTATCTTTATATAGTCATTTTATATTTTATTTGATAAAATGTATATAGGAAAGACAAAAATAAAACAATATTTTTTTTTTTATTAAAGGTTATATAAATATTCTTGTAACAAATTCAATTTTGAACTTTTTTATCAAATATATTGACCGCTGGTAATTAACTTTTAGAATTTTGAAAGAAACATTCCGTCTTCCTATCAGCTGACATACGTGTAACTCATCTCCACAAAGATCTAATAAAAACAAACATTGAATATGCAAATACAGAAACTTTTTTACTTGTCACACATACTATATTATATTTGTATAATCCAAAATATTTTTACAAGCAAAGAAATTAAACAATATAAAAAGCTATTTTATATGTGTTTCATTGAAGCTATCAGATCCATTAACACAAAAATAACATTTCGTAAAATCATATACAGAACTACTTGTGACGTTTCCCTCCTTTTAATCCGCACATGTAAATACTAGTATCTTTCAATATGATATTTAATAAAAGTCAAAATATATAACATTTTGGCAGCTGCCTGCTTATGGAGTTGCATGGCCATTTCAACTTATAATATTTGAATTTTTGTATGGATACAAGCAAAAAGGAAAGAAAAAGAATTTTCTGACTCCAAACTATTATATATCCAAAAAATTAAGACAAAGCTAAAAAAAAAAACTTATTTCGTGAGTGTGATCAGGTGTGTGTGTGTGTGTGTGTGTGTGTGTGTGTGTGTGTGTGTGTGTTGTTGCAAAATTTTTTTTAGTGGGGGCCTTTTTTTTTCTAAGGGGGGGGGGGGGGGACGGATGTACCGTTTCAAAAGTATATACAATAAACACAATGTGGTCCCAACCCCCGTAACCCTCCCTCTTTGTATGGATCTGCAGAAGTGAACACCGGCTTTAAATTTTTCCATGAAATTTAATATCAAAATTTAAAATTCATGTTGGAAGCTTTTGTTGGAGATCAGACCAGCGTTTTCAACTTATAATTTTTGTATTATTATTATTAAACCAAGGGAAAAGTATTTGGATGAGTATTACAAAGATGAGTTGTACAGGTTATTGTTCATAAACTATCAAACGGCAGTCATTTAAATGTTTTTAAGATGTGAATGTTATGTTTCAATTTGAAAGTAACTTATTGTGTGCGCGCATCCGTTTTAGTGTTGGTGTGCGCCTACATCATTTCTGAAAACAATAATGATTTATCACTTTTTTCTTTTTTTAAAGAATTTTTTTAAAAAATCAGGATTTATAAAAATATTAGTTCTAGTGTAAACGCAAGAATAAAATGTCTAGTACATCTGCGCATGCGAATAATTGCTCTGAATTTTAAAAATGTGTACCCCAATATCTTTTTGTTTCTTGTTTTCAAATCTGTTTGAAATTTTGAACATAGTCCTACATTAGCAAACGTACATTGTCGATATATAAAAATTTCTTTGAAAGCATGCACAGCGCGCGATTTGATATTGCAATCTTTATAAATGCAAAAATATCAACTTTAAATGGCTATATCTTCATTTTTGTGTGTTTTTTGACGAAATGCACTTTAAAAGTCAGCGCTCCTTGCAAAAGTCTAATAGCAGTCGAGTTGTGATATACATGAACTACGTATAGAACTTAAGGAAAGAGCTTATAATATCCAATTCCATTGAATTTTAGCAGCTTTTAAATGCTTTTGTCTAATCAATCAACTTGTTTTTAAAAAAAATGTTTGGAATTTTAATATCATTATACATGTACAGTTGGGAGGCAGCATTTCTTCAAAATAACACGATGAATAAAATCAAAAAATGCTTTAATCACGCGCATGTATGTGTGGAAATCATGACAAACATTCAAATGGCTATAAATCACTTTGTGTTTAATAAAATAATTGAATTACATCTTTTGAGCATCGGCGTAATTTGTTCATAAGCAACTACGGTCGGACATACATTGAATAAGGTAAAGAGTCATGTTTATGCACGACATGCATTGCCGTGCGAATGCGCTTAGGACATATGGGATGTGAAATTAAAAATACGGCTTGCAAGGGTATTTTTCCACAATGATGGTTTTATT